GCAACACTGAGTTCCTAAAATAGCTCTGTATGGGTTTGACATGATATAAACATATTTATGAATCCATTTTCTTAGTCTGCAGCATAGGAAGAATATTAACTATCTCAGTGTGTTGTCAGGAGATTAAATGCAGTTATGTACAATTCTTGGTGTACAGTAAAAGTTTAAATAGATAATAGTTACACGTATTATTCCTGAAGGTAGCTGTTCAAACTTTGAGCTTTGTTTAATAACAAAACTTTAAGTGCTTTTGAGTTGATCTTCCCTTTTCTACTTAATCAGACTTTAAAATACAGTGAAATATCTTATTTTAGAGATTTAAAGATTGAGGACTGAAATCTCACATATTTTTCATTGAAGACAAATTGTGGATTTAGGCAATTGATTTCTTTGCACCTTTTCTTTAAGCACAAATTGATTGTTGCTTTCACTTAGCCACTGAACCAGGGAGTTGAAGCAAATGTCTCATCAGCACTTGGCCACAAGTGGAGTCGAGCAGAGAATTGAGTTGCTTCTTTGCTCACCTTTTGTCCCACTGAGACCAGTTCTGGGAAATGAATACAATTCTGTTCAGCTTCTGTCTAAAGAGATCCATGAAAGATTAGGGTTATTTTTAATATTCCAAATCATGACATCTGACTTTAGCAGAGTGATTTACCATTTAGAAAATGCTGTCATATTTTGCAAGCACAGGATTTTAAGGTCTGTAATTTTAAGTTGCTGTTTCCCTCACTGTTTGTCTTTAGTCAGTGTTTCAGTGCCTGGTGCTAACAGGTGTTTAATGTATATATGGATACAAGTAGCTCCATGGGAATGGATCTGGGGGTCACATCATAATTACCCACTCACAGAAGAAACTAAGTCGCAGGGACATGTCACAACTTGTGTAAGGCCACCCAGATGGTATGTGGTGGAAGCAGGAATTCTATCCAGTGGCTTTTCTGCATTCTGGTCCATTCTTCAGAGTGGGGAGGAGAGCTGGAAGTGTATGACAAGTGGGCTAGTTTATGATTATAAAATGCAGTTTCTCGGGGTAAAAAAGTAAAGCCCGTCCTGAGAGAGGATAGTGGACTCTGTGGTGGGCGTCCTGCTCATTTAGCCCACTTACACCTTCCAGAGAGGAGGGTGCTGGCATCAGGTGATCAGTAATGTGTGCCATACCACACCTGCATTGTGGAGTTTTAATCCCTTGAGCAGCTACTGTGTGTGAAACAAGATATTTTAGGAACACTGTCTTAAATACTCATATTCCCCAAGGAAAAAAAGGTATAATTTAATTTATGTTCTGAGAGATAGTGATTCAGAGCAACTAAATGACCTTTTGGTCTCTCAGAATGATTCCCACAGGAACTCATTGTAAGAATTAGTCCATTCTGAGAATAGTTTAGAAAAACCAGTTAGTTAACTGATGGCAACCTCAGGTAGGTGAAGGCTTCCTCTTGCACCCTGGCCACAGGGGTGCCTTTTTCTGAGTGAGTGTTCGCTGGCCCACTGGGTTGCCTCTCAGGGTTGCCTGGGTGTTATGGTGCAAGCACAAAGCTGATGCCACCTTACCCTGCTCTACCGGTTGTACATGTGGCGCCTATTTCACCATGCCAGAGAGCCTCCAGCCCACTGAGAGAATTTACCTCTCAAAATATCTAGAATGATACCATGCATCCTGCCGTACCCAGGGATGAGTACTCTGCAGCCTGAGAGAGGTCTCTACAAGAATATGGAATCATCACTCAGAGCTCAGGGAATCATCCAGGGTGTGGACAGAGACTGAGGAGACAGCACCAAACTTTGGGACTTCTTGAGTAAAGAAATCTATAAAGGAAATGAAACAGCTTTGCAGTTTCCATCAGAGTCCCAGATGCTCTGTGGTGAGAGATTGATTCTAGCTTTTGTTTTCTCAATCCATTTTTGACCAATACTTGTAGAAAACACAGTAAAAATAAATTACATTTAATTTCTGCACTTATCTCATGGAGGAAGATTCAGCATAGTTCAGAGATCACACCTTGACCAACGCTGGTAGATAATAAAACACATTAAGAATATTACAATTGTGTTTATATTATTTTAGGACAGTATTTATAAAAAATAAATTCACCATGTAGTATACATGGTAAGGAGAGATAATAGATGCACAAATGTTCCAGTGAACAAATTCTTTCAACTCTGCATTTCTGAGGTAGAATAGCATACAGACTTGTCCAACAAGCTCCTGCCCAGGTGACTCTGATTTTGCCAGCTTAAGACTTTGCTAGAGACCTAGAATCCACTTCTGGCTCAGAATCATAGTGTCAGCCCGTTTTGTGCTGTTGTAACAGAATCTCCCAATGGAAAGGAAAATGTCTAAAGAAGAGATTTGTCGAGTTCCCCATTGTGGGGTGGAAAGTCTAAACAGTGTGACACTACAACTGGCTGTATTGCAATGGGGTGGAAAAGCAGAAAGGGAGCTGCCTGCAGGTTCTGTGTGAGCAAGGAGGTGAGACACTGGGGAGGACTGAGCTTGCGTTTCTATAGCAGCCTGGTTCTGCAAGACCTGCAGTAGTCCCTTCTGAGGGTGGTCCCCTGGGAGCTATCCTGTCTTTAAAGTGGCCACCATCTCAATTCTGTTCCACTGGGAAACCACCACGGGGACAAAACATCTAGCCCAGAGCACGTGGGAATTGGCTTGACCTGAATTGGTGGAAGGCAGTGACCCTCTCTTTCATTCATACTCAACCTGGTAGCACATTGTGTGTGCTCTTATTTTCTTCTCTCAAGGGTCTTGGAGTAATCTAAGAAGCTATTGCTTGAGGGTATATGTTGGTCACTGTGTATAATCATTACAGTTTTTGTTGTTGTTGTTGTGTTTTGGAGTACATCTTCCTTAGAGAAAACTGACAGCACTAGCTGTCATGCTCAATCATGGTCTGCTCAGTCCTCTTTGAGCGCAGGGCACTGCGTTGATCTGCAGCACATCAAGTACATCTCACATACAGTAGTGAGTAGTTCCCCATTGTAAATCCAGATGCAGGCAGCTTTGTCATTCAGTCATAAACTGATGAACTGTTACGTTTGGTTAGTTGATAAAGCTTCCTTCCTTCCTTTCTTTCTTTTGTTCTTTCTTTCTCTTTTTGAGACAGGGTCTCTCTATGCAGTTCAGGCTGGCCTGAAGCTCATTTTGTAGCTCAGGCTGGTCTTGAACTTGCAGTGATCCTCCTACCTCAGCCTCCTGAGTGCTGGGGTTACAGGCATGTGCCACTACACCTGGCTTGCTTAGCTTCTTTAAAACAGATGCCCAACAGTAGATATCTATAAAAGAAGCTAAATCTGTTGATTATATTCTTGGTATTGGGTTCAGTTGTCATCAGACTGAGCTTGTCATTTGAGACTCCTGGCTTAAACTACAGTTAAGTTACAGAAATTTAAAAACAAATTTATTTTTATTTTTACTTATGTCAGATGGTTTATCTTCAAAGGAAGTAAAGAATCAACTCATACAGAGGTAAACTTGAGTATCTCTTTGTTTCCTGCCTGCTTTGCCCCAAAAAAGCCTCCTTTGTGATGCCCCACTGCCACCTGTCCTGCCTTGGAGCCAGTGAGCTATGGACTGAAACCTCTCCAGGTTGTGATCCACAATAAACCTTTCCTCACAAAACGAAACAAAACAAAACAGGTTAACTCAAAAGCAATTTAAGGAAAAGAGCAGCTTGTATCACAGTGTGTGCTTATAAGCCACAGGGCTTTATCAGAGCAGTACATTCCAGGCCAACAGGTGGGTTTTTCATCCAGTCTCCTGAGTTGGTGGTAGTTTTTAGTGAAAATCTTCATGTGGTGTAGAGCAAACTAACCTTCTAAATTATTGTAGTGGATCAGGAGAGTAGCCCACTTAATGTCTCTGATTTCTTAATTTCTTCACATGGCATCTCTAAACCATGCCGTAGATCTGTCAGCAACTTTGATCAAAGCAGAAATTGACCTTATCAGGCATCCAAATGGAAGTTTCTGTAGGTTTTTGTTATGAGGAGGGTTTTTGTAATACTGTTTATCTCATTAAGATTTGGCTGATAATATCTTTCACTAAGGATTTTGGAAGGAAAAATAATTTAATGAACTTAAAAATCATCTAGTCTAAACATCTCATTTTACCAAAATGGAAATAGCCAGGGGTTTACCACACGTCACAAGGTCCCATCTTTAGAGTCTAGTCCTGGTCTTCTGAAATCTCCCATAATGCCTTGCTGTTTTGATTGATGGGTTGGAATAATGGTTGTGAGGCCTTGGGAAGCAGCTTTCTTACCATCTGTGGCAGGGATGGGGCATCCCAACTACTTTCATGCAGTGCCACAGCAGCCTGGCCCTGCCTGCTCCACTTGGGGTACACTCAGAGGTCTCAGGGAGACCATGTGGCTTGGCTGGGACCTAGATTTTGTAGCTCAGTTCCTGCCATGCTCCAGGCAAGTTGCGTGACCTTGGGTGAACCCCTGATTCCTTTTGTGCTCAGCTTCTGCATATAAAATGGGGTTTTTCCTCATAGGACCTTGGTAAGGACTGTATGAGTACTCGTGGGAAGTGACTAGAACAAGTAGCCAGGGGTGTGTAGTATGTAACATGAGCATTTTCAAAGCATGGGTCTCCTCAAGGTACTGAGCTATGAAGGTTGGAGTCGTAAGTTTGAAGTCATAAATAGTGTTAGAAAAACTATATGGCATATAGTCAGAAGAGCCAGAACATCCTGGGCACATCATATCTGGTCAGGGTACTATTGGCTATCCCTTTGGCTCTATGTTTTGGTTCTTTTGGTTTTGTGTGTGTGTCTCTGTGTGTGTGTGTGTGAGTGTGTATAATGGCACACTTTGTGAAGTGTGCTGCTCCTTTAGGTAGTAAGGGTTAAACGAAGCCCCTGCTCCAGGTCTCGCGTGAGCAAATCCCTGTTTCTGAGTGCAGACCCATTGGGATAGGAGACCCAGAGTGGACCTGAAGGCACAGGTGAGCTCTGCCTGAATGGAAATGTGCTTCCCTTGCAGCGGGAGACCAAGGGGCAGTTTCTTATTGACCACATATGCAACTACTACAGCCTGCTGGAGAAGGACTACTTTGGCATTCGCTATGTGGACCCAGAGAAGCAGAGGGTAAGAGCCAACCTCCTCTCAGTCTACTGTTGGGGAAGGGGCCAGGGTACGGGATATAGTGGGGTCCCACCAAAGCTCTTATGCCCTTGTTCCAGGACACCAGCCACTGGGGAGGGGTGATTAGAGACATAGGACTAGGACCATCCCTGCTGGGCTGGGTGGAGCAGGAGAAGGGCAGGTCGCTGTGGACCTTTCTAGAATGCTGCTTCCAGCTGGAGAAGAAAGAAGGTTTCTGTTCCTTTTCTGGACTCCTCAGTTTGCAGAGCACTTCCGACATTCACGTCTTTCCATTCATCCAGATGGGCATAAAAGCTAATTATGGATTCTACACCCCTCACTGTAAAGAGCCAGGGGTGGAGAGGAACCCAAGGGGTGAGTGCTTACTGGGTCTAGGGGTTTTTTTTGGGTGGTGAAGACAATGTTTGGGAGTTGATATAGGTTGTATAACAGTGTGACCAAATGCTGCTGAAATGTACATTTTATGATACTGAAATATGTGGATTTCATCTCAGGTTACAAAAAGCTTTTGACAGATGAAAGGTGAAATCACTCTGGAAGCTGTTCCTTGGACACTGGGGACTTCAGCAGGACCCTTATGTTCTTGCTCTGCATACAGCCACCATTCCTGGCCTGGTGCTGGGTTAGAGTGGGTTTGGAGTCTCATTTTTCGATGTGGTGGGCCAGCCTGAGTGTGTGCTGGCATGGCTTAGGCTGACCCACAGTGATCCTGTGACTGAAAATGTCAGCTTTTTTTTTTTTTTTTTTACACCAAACAGATGTTATAGCCTTTTGATGTGATATGGATGTAGCTATATGGGCTTCAAGCATTTTCTCTCATCACTGCATAGTTTAGATTTAGAAAGATACGATTTAGAAACCATATCTTTGCTTATTAATAAGCTATTTGTTCCTGATCAAGTTATTTGGCTTCTCTGAGTCTCTCTCCTGATGAGTACAACAGACTAAAACACTTTCCTTTAGTACTGATATAAAAAGAAGAGACAAAGTATATACAGTTGATACTGAACACATGATATATATTGACTACTTGGTATGCTCAGTATTGTTGGGATTGTCATTCTTAAGATTATTAGCATTGACTCAGTGCAGGTGAGGAAAAACAGCCATGATTAACACCCTGAAAATCTACAATGGTTTATAATAGCTTTTTTTTAAAGGTGGTGGGGATAGGGCACTATTATAATCCTTGGAATGAGAAGCAGAAAGTGGTCCTTCAATAACTAGAAAAACAGGCTCAAAAGCATAAAGACACACTGGTTATGAGAATCTTCAGCAGAGACAAAATGACTGATGTTGGTCTTGACCAGCTTCTGTACTTTTTCTTAATGGCAAGTAAAACTGTTGAATAATTTAGACAGAAAATCTTGCAAGAGAGGAAAAAAAACACGAGAGCTAAAGCAGAAGTTACCTTTGCTGTGGTTTGTCGGTACTTCTTCCCAACTTGACTGACAGTAAACCATTGTGTAATATTAAATATTTAGCATTATTACATTGGAACACCATCTGTTTTACAAGACAGCTCATACTCCACTCATTCTGAAAGTGGTGAGGACCAAATCTGTAAGTGGTGCCTATCTTTTGCTTGTTCATTGGTAAGGACCAGACTCCTTTTATTACTTTATTTGCCATAGGGAAGGACAGGCTGAACACTACTAGTCAGTAAAATCCACTTGAGTTTCACCATTTATCTTCTAAGAAATCATGCAGGCTTAGTTGAGTAAGACTAGGAAAAGGTGAATAGTGTTTTCTCTATTTTACTGATAGAGAAAGCTGGGGCAGTATGTCTAGAAGTTTTGAAAGAAACACTTCCAAGGGAACATTTGTACTTGGGCTGAATTCAGGTTTTGTTCTTAAATCCAGTATATACTTCCCACCGATTTTGCTCAGATATTTGGGTAACTTCCCATTGGAAAGATGAGATTTTTAAATAATTAGCTGAGTTTCAGGACTCTAGTTTCTGTAGCTGTGGTTTGAAATGTGCACTGTACTGGACTTCCCTCTTGTTTTTCTGCCCCTTCCTTTCTGGATAAGGAAGCCACCTCTGTGGCTTTTAGCTGAGAAAGGGCTTCAGCCTGCAGCCCCACAGGAGAAGCAATTATAGCAGGACTCGGTATAGGTGATCGGCTCATGGTCTGGAGGAAGACTGCACTCAGTGCTTTTAACTTCCTTATCTGCAAGAATGTACTGAACCCATTGCATCAGGGTCATTGAGCTGATGGAAGGCTGACCGACTCACATTCAGAGACAGAGGAATCACTTGGAAGTCCTCAGCTGTAGGGGCAAGCTTCTCAAGTGCCGTCTGATAGCACACTATGTGTCACACATCCACCGGGCACCAGAGGATTTAATATGTTTTCCGAGGGAAAGATGACTACAAAGTCATGCATGCAAGTTCAGGGTGAATCTTAGTGCCTGTTTATGTAGGTAGCCAGAAAGAACTAGTGATCCTGTTAGTGGATTTTATTAAACATGGAAAAGACTTTGTTCGTGTTTGAGCAATTTGCTTTTTCTGGAGGCACCTTGGGAGGTCGTGGAATGGAATAAAAATCAGCCCAGTGATTTGAGGTTTCACTCTGGGGTTGGTGCCAGGAAGCCAGACAGCATTATGTCCCACCAGCTGCTCTTGCCATTGAAAGCTGCTGCTTGCTCCTCAGGATAACTGTTTCACAGATGCTTATAGAAAGGAACAGTAGTGGTACCTAAGATTTAAGGCAGTTATAAACATTATAAACAGAGGGTTGTACTGCAGCTGCAAGTCATTGGTCATGAATTCTCCTGCTTGATGAGTGTTCTTTTGTTCTTAAGGATTAAGAAGGTTAAAAGTAAGACTTAGGTACCTCTGTGGCCCAGGGGGCATGTACAGGTATCTTGTCTTTGTAGGAAGGACCCTGGACACTCAAGTTGCAAGGAAGACAGCACTGTCCAAACATCTTAAAATGGCATGCACTCTCTGGTAGTCATCTGTGACAAAAGGTATTAACATCTCCAGATTTAGAGAATTTGTCAGCATCTGTTCAACAGAAAGAGCTTAGTATGTGTCTGAATCACATTCCTGTCACCGGGATGCAGTACCAGCACCCACAACCTAACGTAGGAGAGATTTATTTGGGTCACAGTGTTTAGTGGGTTCAGTCCATGGTCTGCTGGCTCCAAGAAGAAATGCATGGTAGAAAGTCTTGACAGAAGAAAGTGCTCCATCCACTGTATACAGGAAGCTGCGGAAAAAAAGGAGGAGCTTTCAGGCAACACCCTCGGTGACCACCTCCCGCCAGGCCCCACCACACAGCACCTTCAGTTACTCATTAAACTCATCATAGATGAATTCACCAAGAGTACAGTGTCCCACCAACCAGTCACGCTCCGTCAGACATTTTTGGGGATATTTTAGATTTAAATCATAGCAATACTTGTCTAAATGGATTGCTCTTAGCTGACTTAATCTACATCTACTGCTCTCCTGGGAAAGGAGCGGGACATGTGAGGAAAGGTTTTGATCTGGAAGTCACTGGGCACACTGGGCTATCATAATTTTAATGATCGGAGAGTCAAAGATACAAACTGATGAATATGTTTGGATTAGAAGTAGCCATAAGAATAAGTGGGGCCGGGAAAAAGCCATTTCATTCCTGTTTAAGTCAGATAGAAACAGGAATATCCATGGTTAGGAGTTTTCCTCTCTCAGTTGTGGAAACAATGGGGTCAGGAATTCACGATAGGGGTTAGGGGCTGTCATTAAGGAGAGAAGTGTTTGCGGGAGGCTTTCAGCAGCCAAGGGACATCAGTGATGACAAGAAAGCAGTAGGTTGGGAAGTCTTAAAATAGCTTTAAAGATAGCTTTTAAATTAAGCCAGGAAAAAGATTAGAATGTATTATATGCTGCATAAGTTGGAGAAATAAAGTACAGGGTAGGAAATGACCATTTGAAGTGGAGTTTTATTTCTTCTTGGTTCAGACTTTAGCAGACGTCTTTCAGGGCTCAGTGGAGGTGGTGTGTTACGTGCAAGGAGGGTGACAGTGATGAGCTAGGGTTCTAGTTTCTATCACTGGATAACATGTACCTGTACTTTAGTGACTTAGAACAGCATGGCTTTATTGTATCACAGAGTATCGTGGGCCAGGACTTTGAGCAGGCCCAGCGGAGTAGCTTGGTTCCTTACGATGTTGCCCAGGGTCACTCACTGGTTACCCAGTTGTTGCTCTGCAGGCTTCAGGATGTCTTCACTCCCATGCCTGGTACCTTGGTGGGGATGGTTAGAAGCTGAAGATGAACTTGGGGGAGACTCTTGCGTGTAACCCCAGGGCCTCTGCAGATGTCATTCCTGCAGGGTGTCTGAACCCCTTACATGGCTATTGAGGTCTCTGAATAATAATGCAGCTGGTCACTAAATAAGTTATACAACAAAGAGATCAGGTTTTGGGAGAAAAATGATGAGTTGTGAGCATGATGAGTGTGGGAACCTGGGATGTATCACAGTTGAGTTATTCTCACTATAATTGAAAAAAGGGGCTTAAACTTCATAGGAGATTTCGGTCCTAGATGAGGCTTTTGAGACAGTGAAGTCTTGTTACTTCACAGCCTTGGAATTGTAGAGCACACAAAAGGGTGGAGGGAGGCAGCAGCAGTGGGGGAGAACATGAATGAGAGAGACAGGCTATATAGAATGAGAGGAGAACTCATGTTAACATAGTGACCCAGAAAGGGAAACTATCAAGATAAATGGATCAGGAGAACAGAGCAGAAAAGACAAAGTGAACAGAGAAGGAAGCATCTAGATCAGGATGAGAGTAGACTCAGTGAGGGCGGTAGACTGCAGTTTCTTTCTTTTTTTTAAAAAAAATTAAATGATTTTTTAATGAATAAGGGAGAGGATGAGATAAAAGGGGCATAACAACATAACAATACAGTTAAAGCATGACACTTTCAGCAACCTAGTGCTTCACCACCAAATAACCTGACTTAATAGTAGTTACCATAGTGT